CGGAGAGGACACTGAGGGGAAGACAGGTTGTTGAGCAGCAACTCCCTCACTGGGCCTCAGCCCCAGCTCTGGCAGGGCCTTCCAAGCCCAGACAGCTGAGGCTGTGCTGTGCCTGCCAGAGGTGCCTGTCAGGGGCCACACTGTGCCAGAGAGAGGCAACCTCTTTTGCTGAGGCCACATGAGATTCTGCTGCAGTGCAGCCTTAGGTGGAGAGAGGGCAGGCTGGTACACCTTATGGGATCCCTGGGCAGCTCACATACAGTCACTCCACACACACACCCCACCCCCATCACTCACAGAAATGGTCTCCAGAGCAAATCATCAGGGGGTCATTTGTGTGCCTGTTTCACCCACAGAGTGAGGCCCCATCCAGGGGGGGCCCCTTACACTCCAGTCCCCCCATCTGGCCCCTGACTGATGGCAGTGACTGATGCCATGGCTGTTCCTTTAGTTTCTAACAGAGCAAAGGCCCAATGCTGAGATGCGCAGGTTTCCCCAAAGCTCTGTTCTTTGGGGCCTGCATGCCTTCTTAAGTTGATGAAGTCTCAGGAGCAGAAAAGCCCTCAGAACCCTCAGCATCCCTTTGGGAAGTGGTTAACGGCACAGGCTTTGAAGACAGGTCTAACTGGTTTGGCTCTGTTCTCTACCAATTCCCAGCTGTGTGATCTTCAGAAAAGGGCTTAACTCCTCTAAGCCTCTGCTTTCTCTGAGAACAGGAACTACTAGGCAATTGCTCTGAGATATAAAGCAGGTAAAGTGTGTGGCATATACTAAGCACTCAACCAATGTTGGTGCAACAAAAAGGAGAAAATCTTATTATCTCCCTCTCTCCCTCATTAATCTGCCCAGGAAGAGAGCAGGTTTGAGAATGGTCAGTAGTTGGGAAAGGAAACAGGCTTGCTTCAGAGCCCCTGAGAGGGTATGTAACCTGAAGGCAAATGCTGAATTGCTCTGGGGAATGAGGGGCATGTTTTAAAAAGAGGCTGTGTGGAAGAAAGAGGGGACATACGATAACACACCAGGGAGAAGACCTTGAGGTAGAGAAATGGGAGGTTTCATTAAGTTCTGCTGTGAAGCATGGGAATCGTACCTTTCCACCTACCCGTGAAGAGTTCAGGAAAGCCTCCATTTTTAATTGATGCACCGGGGAGTTGGATCCGTGCAGGATGCAATGAGAGGCTGAGTTTGACCTCAGAGAGCTTCAAGAGTGGAGAGCAACTAGACCATGCATGAAGTTGCCCTTCTGCATTATGTGATCTTGGACCAAAAGTTTGGCAAGAATAAGAACTTTAATTCCTATGTCAAGCTCTTTTTCCACCAAGCTGGCAGAAAATGTAAACACTGGGCTTTCTTAGAGTTCCTTCCCTGCCATTCCAGTTCTTCAGTTCCAAGAGAGTGGGGAGAGTCCATCCTGTTTGTGCATCACCCACCGCACAATTATGGCTGAGGGGTCCCCTGCTTCTGTCAGTCTGGTGACTCTGCCCTGGCAGGAACCAGCCCTTAGATTTTTTGGCACAATCCACATACAACCTTTCCCTTGCTGCGTGGCTTCCCCCCACCCCCACCCCCCACACACACACAGGCAGGCAGGGAGACTGCACACAGGTCCTACTCTCAAGAACTTGTGCTTTCTTCCATCCTCCTGACAGAGGACAGGCTGGGCATGGAAGAGAATGATTTTTCCCTCCCAGGTTCCAGCCATGAAATTTGGTCTAAAACTCAATCCTCTCTTCTAGTGATTGAGTCTTAGATTACAGCCTTCTAAATTGCCCTGTGGACACAGGCTTGTACACCAATTGTCTGCTTTCTACCTGGCTACAGCTTCACAGTCATCTGCCTGAAGGGGAGCAGAGTTGAGACATCTTCCCAAGTCCACAGAAATGTCCCTACCGTATTCTCTTAACTTGTTACACACTATAGATAATACCATGATTTTTGTTTTCTATTTGCTTATAACCACCTCTCTATTGACTGGAATTATTGAAAGGGTCAATTTCCTAAAATAACACCCCACTCTGTTGTGTCACCATTATCATCCTGATGACGCCCTCTGCCATGGTCATTGGCCCACCTGGTCAGCCAGATAGACAGGGCACTAAAGCCTGAACAACATCAGAGCTGGAAGAGACTTATTTTGAAGCTTTGTGCCAATTCTTCACCTGCCTGAGGGAAGAAGCCTGCCTGAGCCCCACCCACCCAGTGGGACAGGGAGCTGCAAGAATCCAGGTCCCTGAAATCCACCCCAGGTTTTCCATCCTGCAGGGAGGAAGACTGAGAATTCACACCAGGAGCGCTGCACCTGGAGCAAGCTCTTTTGTGCCTTCACTTCTCCAAGCTCTGACTTCAGAAACAACCTCTGACTTCAAAGGAGGTGGGAAGGTGTGAGACTCAGCACCTCCCCGTGGAGACAAATGTATCTTCTTGTCTATTTCTGTTGTAGAAATAAAATGGTTTCTGGCCACACAGGCTGTTCTACATCTATGCTTTGGACATCTTTCCGTGTCAGTATATATATAACATAACATTCCTTTATTCTTTGTATTTGCCTCACTGTATGGATAATACCCTATTTTTTGTATGTTTTTAACCTGCCTTCTATTATAGAACACTTGAGGTTTTTCCAAGATTCCAATCCACGATAAGTCCTTTCACGCTTTTTATGCACCTGACTCCACACTTTCAAAATGACTCTAGTACCCACATGGTGGGCAGCGGGATGGGTATCCTCACTGTAAAGTAAGGGTGGAATTCGAGAACAGTCACACTGCAGGTTCTGCTAGAGATGGCAAATGCAGTGCCCCCCCTCCAGCCTCCAGCCCTAACACTCTCTTAGTCTCACGTGATGATCCCTGAATAGTCCTTTATACTTGGGTCCAGCTTGGGTTGGACTATAATTTAAAATTTTACAATTTTTAAAAATTGTAAATGGCCCAGAAGAGGCAAGTGTGTGGGTTGTACCAGGCACTACGTGCTAAGCGTCAAGGAAGGGAAAGCCCATTGGATAACCTTCATTGACTGAGGAGGTCCTCTGCGTGGGCCCCCTGAGGATGAAGCAGCCTGGGCCATCTTCCCAACTTAGAAAGCATATTTACACCCCCAATCTCATTTTAATCTCTTGGGGTTTATATTATCATTTTCCCCATTTAGAAAGGAGGAAATTGAAGCACAGAATGGTGACTTGCCCAACATCACATAGTGGTGGAGCCAGGCCTGCGGACTTGCTCTTCAAAACTACATGTATTATTACTACCAAAAGAGAAAACAGCATTGCTGAAAGTGTGAAAACTGAACTGTACCTACAAAAACAAATGGCAACATTGCAGGGAGTTTGAAAACATCTTGGAACCAAGTCAAATAAACAAAAATTTTGTTAGGTGACCATAGGCACATCATCTTACCTCTCTGATCCTAAGTTGTCTCCTTCTACAGAAAGAGAATGGTAATAACAATAATCGTAATCACAGCAATGGTTAACTAATATATATAGCACACCACCCCAACCCTACAGCCATTTCAAAGTCTGACTTTCCCCTGCAGGCTTGCATTCAAACATACATATTTAATATGTCTTTAATCATAGGAAACACACAATTTATTTCCTCATTTTTCAGCTGACATTATCTCGTAAGCTCTTCCCATTTAGCTACATGGACTCAGCAATCACCTTTTCAGCAGATGCTTTCACCTAGATTAATTAACTCTTGTGGCTGGTGCTGGCCATTTACTGCCACCAAGTTTTCACTATTTCGACTGATGGTACAGAAAACATATTTCAGCTCAGAGAGATTCCTGAAACTCAGAGACTATCTGAGCCCTTCAGACCCTGAGCTCCTGCCCTCCTCAGTCTGTTCACCCAACTCCACCAGCCCTCTGCCCTGGTGCCTGGTTCTGCCCTGGCTTTCCCAGGAGCTGAGATGGAGCTGAGGCCTTGCCTGACAGAGTCCTATAAAGGCAAGTCTCAAAGCAGGCTCAGAACAGGCTCAGAGAAGCTTGTAGGGAAAAGGGCTGAAGAGGACTTCCCTTGGTGTACATACGCATTTATGCTCCATATCCCTATCTCAGGAAATTCTTCTGAAATCGAACCTAAAATCCCACTTTCTCTTTTCTCCTTCGTAGGACATATACTTTTGACCTCGGATCTGTAAGAATCTCCCCAAAGGAAGGCATAACATTGTCTCTACAATTTCACCAGGTCCTTGAACTCCTTAAGCCTGTGCGGTTAAGAATACAGCCGAGAGTGATAGTGTCTCTTTCCACCCCTCCTGGCTGCCTCTCGTTGCTGTCATTAGATACTATATCACAATCCTCTTTTTCAGCCATGGGCCCGGATGTATGCTACCCTGCAGTTGCTGGGAGGTTCTGTGCATTAGATGCATGCCTGCAGATGATGGGTGTGGGGTGGGAGTGGGAGTCTGAAAAGCTGAGTTCAAGTTATGCTTCCCCACTTGCTGGCGATGAGACCTTGGGTCAGTGATGTAATCTCCCTGAGCCTCAGTTTCCTCATCAGAAAAATAGGAGGAATCATAACCTGTATTTAGCAGGAGCATTGGGAGATCCAGTTTGTGAGAGCTCTGGATATTCTTTGAGCGACCTGGGCTGGGACCACTTTTGAAAATATTCTAAGCGCTCCCCAAGGGGCACTTAGAATGTTCCTCACTGCTTTTCTTATCCAAAAGGGTTGAGAGCTTGTTCCACTCTGCAGACCAGGACTCTCCCATCTAACTACATCCACCCATGCCATGCGTTGGTGAGCCCACATCTCAGACCCTGGGCAGGGAGCTCACTCTCAGGACCCGCACGGTACCCATTCCAGACCTCCGAGGACACTCTTCCTCTCTTCCACAACCCCACCCTCTCACCCAGACTGGAGGGTGCCCACACGCGCAGCCTGCCTTCCCCTTTTCAGCGCACGCGCGAATCGAGGGACTCGCAAAGCGTCCCCTAGCACCTCTGGGCACGTGGGCCGCCGCTGCTGGAAGGCGGGTCCCAGCGCGGCCCGGCCCAGTGCGTTCCCCGCCGCCCCCGGGGCCCCGCAGGTGCAGAGCGGGACGGGGTGGGGGAAGCGGGAGCGCCGGCGGGGCGGGGCCCGCGGGGGCGGCTGACCGCCCGCCCGGAGGCGGAGAGCGAGGGACAGAGGCGAGAGAGGCGCGTGGAGCCGGCCGCAGCCGCAGCCGGAGCGCGAGCCCGCGCCGCCATGCCCTTGGCCTTCTGCGGCAGCGAGAACCACTCGGCCGCCTACCGAGTGGACCAGGGCGTCCTCAACAACGGCTGTTTCGTGGACGCGCTCAACGTGGTGCCGCACGTCTTCCTGCTCTTCATCACCTTCCCCATCCTCTTCATCGGTGAGCGCGCGCCGGGAGCGGCGGCGGAGGGCCGGGCGGAGGCGCGGGGAAGGAGAGGAGGCGCTGCACGCCGCACCGCTCCGCGGCCCCTGTCGGCCCCGCACCTCCGCTCGTCTCCCTCCCGGGGTCCCCTGCCCGCTGTTCTACCCCGCGGTCCTCTCGCTCGCAGGCCCGCACATCGCCTCACTCCCCTGGGTGCCCCCTAACTCGCACCAAACACAGCGGAACCCCCAAGTTTTGCCGCCACTGGGCCAGAGCTGGGATGGAGAAAGGGGAAAGCGGAGGTTTCTGAACGCACTGTGAAGGTGGGCGAGGGTGTCAGGCTGCACCCTTGGTGGTGCCGCGTAGGGAGCTGGGTCGCCCCCTCCCCCAAGGCGCCCTGGGGTCAGCCGCAGCTAGGCCTGGGGAGGAGTGCAGCCTCAGCCTCGGACGGAGGTCGGGATTGAGGCCCAGCGAACTCCTGTGCCTCCCCGGACAAAGCCAGAGGGTGGTCAGTAGCCCCCGACAGTCCCAGGGCCACACTCTCCCTGGGCGAGGAGAGGCAGGAGCTAGGGACTTGGATCTCCTGGCCCGGCTACCCCACTCTGGTAAAACTCCTGAGTGCAACTTCTTATGCTCTGTGGGGAGCAGCCCCCACAGCAGCGACTTCCCAGAGGCCCCCAACGCCCCTGCTTTGAAAGCACTCTGCAAAATTGGGTGCCACTGCCGGATAATCCTGCATGCTTTTTCACTCAAGTCCCCTTCATTTCTCATCAAGACCATGAGTTTCCCAAGCTGAGTAGGCCTGTCAATTCATAGGGGGTCCCATGCCTCCCCAAAACATGTTCACTCACTCTAATTAAGAAAAAAAGCAAATTTAAAATTCATATGCAGCTTTTGGGAAGAAAGGAAGGATTGTCACAAAATTAAAAAGAGGATGCTGCAGAAACAGAGCTGCTAGTTACTGACAATGGCAATTAGGCAGGGATAGAAAGGAAACATAAGCAAGCTACTCGTCTGTGTATCAAAAATTGTACCAGTATTTACACATACGCTTTTAACCAAATGGTTTATCTACATGATAATTAGTCATATGAGAAGTCAGCATATAAAATTGGGTACCTGCATAGGTGCCTCCACAGGTCCAGGGTTCATGCTCGGACATTTAGTTCTCACGTTCAAGACTCAGGCATTCTCATGCACAGGTGTACAGAAGGTACGTTCCTCACTCTCATCATGGACACGATGCCTTAGCACCCTACTGGGGGCACCCTCCTTCTGGTGAGCCAGCCTTCCCACCTCTTTGGGTCTCTCCTTGCAGGATGGGGCAGTCAGAGCTCCAAGGTACACATCCACCACAGCACATGGCTCCACTTCCCAGGGCACAACCTCCGCTGGATCCTGACCTTCATGCTGCTCTTCGTCCTGGTGTGTGAGATCGCAGAGGGCATCCTGTCTGATGGGTGAGTGACTCTTGGAGGACTCAGGAGAGTGGAGCTACTCCAGAGTGCTTCCCTCAAAGCCAGGGAGACCCCAGCTCGCCTGTATTCCGTGAGCCAGCAACACTTGCTAGTAAACCTAATGACTGTTGACCCAACCTCTCCTATGTGCAGACTCACTGGCCACAGGTGAGACCCAGGCCCTGTCCCTAGTACAATAGGGTAGAGGGAACGCAGATCTGCATGCCAAGACCAGTGAAATCATCCTAGAGCCTATCAGAGTGCCCTAACTCCTGGGGAAATGCCCAGCATCTTCCACAAGCAGCTGGAGTTATTACCTTCTCAGGAAAAATTTAAATCTCTCTTACTCAAGACCTGTCCTTGGTTCCTAGTTGTTTCTTTACAAGGTCCCAGTCCTCAGTCTGACATCTGGGGTCCTCATAGCCCCCTCCACTGTCTCTAGCCTCATTCCCAAGGACTTCTCCCCACAGCCACCTTTCCTCTGGGTCTCACAACACTCCTCACACCTATGCCACAGCACAGATCATACTGTAAAGTTCCCATCTATTTGTATAACTTCTTCCGATGGGTGGGAAAAGCCGTAGAGTTGAAATCTGGGTTTTATTCACGTCTGTAGTCCTGGTGCAAGGCACATGGTAAAGCTCCGTGAACATTTGTCCACTCCTTTAGAGAATAAATGAAACAATGTTACAAGTAAGTACTCTGGGAGGAGAGAGGAAGGCAGGGTTGGGCAAGCTTCATGATTGAGGGGGCTTCTGAGCTGAGCCTGGAAGGATGACTAGGGCTCTGGCAGCAGAGGAGGTCCCGAGGGAGGGCCAGTGGGGCTGGAGGGAGGAGAAGCAAAGCACCACTGGAATAAAGGTGAGGGTGGGTGGAAGCAATGGGGCTGAAGCATGAACCATGCAGTGGAGTGAGGAGGACAGGGCTTGGAAATCGGTTGGGGGCATCTCCAGGAGGGCTGCAATGCCAGGCTGAGAGTTTGGGCTGGACTTTTGTCAGCAGTTTGAAACAGAAGAGAGATGTAATCATCACAGCATATTTAGGCAAGAACCCAAGGGGGTGTCCAGGGCAGGTTGTAGACAGAGAGAGGCTGGAGGTAGGAAGAGCACTTAGGAGGCCATTGCAGTAGTCTAGGTGACAAATAACTGCAGCCGGAAATGGTGTGTCAGCAGCTGATGGGTGCAGAAGAGGAGGAGGTGAAGCAGCCATCTCGCTGAAGAAAAATCAAAGAATTAACAAGGCTCAGTGACTGCCTTCGGTGAGGGGATGGTGGAGGGTGGAGGGCATTTGGCTAAAATATCTGAGGTCCAACCCCTCTGAGCTGTTATCAGACTATGCCCAGACTCCACCCCTGCCAGCCAGCCCTGGCTCCTGCCGCTGGACAGCAGGGGGATGGAATCCTCCCCCAGCCACTCCCTCACCCTCCCACCCGCAATGTCCCTGCATCCTGGCTTCAGCAGTAATCATCGGCTCCTCCTGGATACTAAAGTCCCCCAAATTAGCAGGAAGACCACAGTGTATGCTACCACATAGCCAGAAGGTGACAAGTTATGCTCTCACCCCCAACCCCCTTCCAAACTGGCACAAATGCTAGAGAGAGCAGGAGTGCCCTGTGAGCCTTCAGGCCAGAAATACTCAGTGGGCTATAATTCGTGGGGTGACAGGAAAGCACCCTGCCTGAGGACAAGGCAGCGCTGGGTCTTTTGCGGGTGCTTCTCTAAATACCTGCTACAAGGATAAGCCACTCACCTTCTCTTCCTGTGAAAAACGAGCACCATAATCCTGCCTTGCTTGATTCACAAGGCCATGAGGATGAAATTAGAGCACAGATAGGGCAGAGCATGGAGGGGCAGAGCCCAGGGCAGATGGCACACTCCCAGCACTGGGGAGACTGGAATAAATCAGGTTAGGGACTCCTTCCCGCTGACTGTCAGGCAGCCCCTCCTGCGTCTGGTTGCATTTATATCCTAAATCTCTCCAGCTCAGTGCAAATTACTGTTTCTTCCACAGCAGGCAGGTCAGCTCTTAAACTGATCACCTGGTCTTTGCTGGCTGCCATCTGTGGGCCCGACCCCTGGGCAGCCCAGCATGAAGGAATGACATGGGAAGGGAGTGGGCAGGAGGAGAAGCCCCAGACCCTGCCTTGCAGGACTCCCCGGTCCACCCTGGCCTAAGTTGCAGACCTGCCTGGAAGTCTAGGGGGCAAGTGGGAGTGGGGGCTGGTTAAAGAGCGGTCTGAAAACTTGAGTTTAGTTTAGGGTAAGCCTCATTTAGTGATTAATTAAGGTACTTTAAACCTGCAGGATTTCCTCTGTTCCCTTGAATGTTATTTTTGTGTAATGCTCTGAATTCACAGCAACCAAAACTGTATAGGTTAGTGAGGAAACATTTTGTAAAACTATGTAACTAAAATATTTTCCCAGATGACTATATACTGGAACTTTTACCTACTTTCTTAACTAATCCAATGTATATTATTCAATAAAGCAGCTAAAATCTATTAAGTCATGTCATGAAATGTTTCTTTCAATTATTGTTATTCTTCATCTTATTTTATTTTATAAAATGTTTATCATTTCTACTCCTATTGCAAAAGATGAATTTATTTGAACTTAATTATATAACATTTTAGATGTCATTTAAAAAATGTATTTTCAATTATTGTTATTCTTCATCTTATTTTATTTTATAAAATGTTTATCATTTCTACTCCTATTGCAAAAGATGAATTTATTTGAACTTAATTATATAACATTTTAGATGTCATTTAAAAAATGTATTTTCAATTATTGTTATTCTTCATCTTATTTTATTTTATAAAATGTTTATCATTTCTACTCCTATTGCAAAAGATGAATTTATTTGAACTTAATTATATAACATTTTAGATGTCATTTAAAAAATGTATTTTCAATTATTGTTATTCTTCATCTTATTTTATTTTATAAAATGTTTATCATTTCTACTCCTATTGCAAAAGATGAATTTATTTGAACTTAATTATATAACATTTTAGATGTCATTTAAAAAATGTATTTTCAATTATTGTTATTCTTCATCTTATTTTATTTTATAAAATGTTTATCATTTCTACTCCTATTGCAAAAGATGAATTTATTTGAACTCAATTATATAACATTTTAGATGTCATTTAAAAAATGTATGAGGGAGTACAGAGTTTTTCAGTTATTTCAAGGAGTACAAAGACGAGAGTTTTGAAGACCACTGGGCAGCATGTTGATGGTTCCCTGGGTCCCCACTAGTGACTGATCACCTTGTACCTCCTGTATCATCAGTCTTTTGATGAGAACATCTACTAATCAAGGCTTAAGTAATATTACAGTCACATTTAACAAGAAGTCTGGCAGTTCCCTTTCTTAGTTGGTTTGGCAGCTTTGTGTTGCCATCAGGGACCCATCTTTCCCCTTCATGCTCTGTAAGTCTGCCATATCTTCCCCCAGGGTCACAGGATGACTACCCAACTCTGGATATTACTTAGGAAGGAAGTGTGACCGGCAAAGGGCGCATGTCTCTTGTGTGCCTCTTCCTTGTGCAGGAGACCATCCTCTGAAGACTTGCCTTTACATCTCATTGGCCAGAATGGGGTTATATGGCCACCCTTAGACTAGTCACTGGTAAAGGAGGGTGGAATTGCTTGGCTGCTTGAGTGATTCACCATCCATTACCTGGGCTGGGCACATTGCTGCTGGAGCAAACTTGAGGTTCTTTTAGCAAAGAAGAAGGGGAACATGTTACTTGGTGAACAGCCCACACTGCCTCCACATCTCCACCCTAGTCCCACCAGACTGCTTGGGTTCCCCACATGGCTCTCCTCATTTTCTTTCTCGTTCTCTGCTAAACTCCTGCTTATCCTTCAAAGCCCAGCCTGGTGCCACCTCCTCTGTGAAGCTTTGCCTGATTGCTCACCCAGTCTTCTGTGCTCTTAGTCTTCTGGCCAACTGCAGTATCGCCTCCCCAGACTGCCTGTCAGGCACTTCGCTCTGAGCATGGTTGGCCCCTTCCTACCATGAGCTTCCTGAGGACAGAGACCCTTAGCCGCTGGGTAAAGGGAGCAATGCAAGTGCAGACAGTGCTGAGGTGGGAGACTGGAGGAGGCCTAAGGCAATGGAGAGAGTCCTGAAATGGATTCAGCAGAAAGAGCAGGCTAGACAATCCTGGAAAAGTGGCTTGAGGCCACATCACAGGGATCCTTGGTGCCAGGCTGAGGAGTGTGGGCTTTGCTTTCTGTAGGAGGGAGCCGTGGAAGGGCTAAGTAAGGTGAGCTTCCTCACCAGTCATGTGGAGCCTGAGATCTGGGCGAGAACTCTGGCTCCTACCAGTCTTACCACCAGATCAGAATCCACCTACCACAGAGGCCTCTGTGAGTTAAAGCAGAGAGGGAGTGGACAGTAACCTTGGACACATTACTTAGCCTCTCTGTGCCTCAGTTTCTTCAATTGTAAAATGAAGAGACTAAGTGTACTGACTTCATGGGGTCTTATTAAGACCTGGTGAGTTCATATAACATCAAGGGCTTAGAACAGTACCTGGCACACAGTGAATGTTCAGTAAATATTAACTATCAGTGTTGTTATTACACCTGCCAGGAAGGCATGTGCTGATTTATGCTGTCCATGTTAAATGGGGCTGTGTCTAAGAGAGTTGTGGTGTTCAGGCCCCTGTACTGTCCCAGGGACCTCAGACACAGTGACCCGGCTGTGATCCCTCCCGGAGAAGTGGTTCCAGGCCAGAGGCTTTGTGGCTGTGACTGCCAAGGCTGGCCTCCCTATGTCAGGTTCCATGAGCAGGAGCCCAGGCAGAGAAAGCTTGGACTCCAAAGCCTAAACATGGAGCCACCCTAGCATGACTGTGTGGATTCCTGGAGCCATCAGCTAACAGGTGTGTTTTGGGTATGGGCTGGGCAGAGCTGCCAGTACATGTTGTAGAGCTGTGCACGTGACCTGGAGGCCCTGCTGTGTGCTGGGCCCTAAGCACGAGGCCTGAGCTGCTCTGTTGGGATACTCAGCACATCCACATCATGTCTCTCTCTCTCACCCCATCTCAGGGTGACCGAATCCCGCCATCTTCACCTGTATATGCCAGCAGGGATGGCGTTCCTGGCTGCTGTCACCTCCGTGGTCTACTATCACAACATCGAGACCTCCAACTTCCCCAAGCTGCTGATCGGTAGGCGGGCAGAAGGGGTGGGAGAGGGATAGTACCTTCATTCATTCCTTCAGTTAATGTGACTGAGGGTGTACTGTGTGCCAGGCACTGCTCTAAGTGCTAGAGGTTCAGAAGGGGAGAATAAAAAAGGCCTGCTTTTGTGGAGCTTGCAGTTTTGTGGAAGGAGACAGACAGTGAATGCATAAATAAACAAATAGGTAGCAATGGTGCTATGAAGAAAATGAAGCTGGGTAAGGGGTAGAGTGATGGCAATGTTGCTGTCTATATAGGGTAGTCAGGAAAGATCTCTAAGAGTGAGCATGCAGATATTGGGGTGGGGAGAAGACTGTCCCATGTGGATGGAACAGCCAGTATGAAGGCCTTCAGATAGAAAAAAAACTCAGCAAAGGTCCAGTGTGGGCAAAGCCAAGTAAGCAAGGGGAAGAATGGTAGGAGATGAAGTTGGGGGCCAATAGAGGAGCAAGGAAGACTTCTAGGCTTCGGGTCTGAGCACCTGAGCAAATGGTGGCAAATTAATAACTGACATGGCAAAAAAGCAGCAGCTAGGGATATTTGGGGCATGTTGAGAATGAGGCACCAACTCAAGTGTCAAATGGGCAATCAGATAAATGAGTTGGGCATTCAGGGCAGGTCAGGCTTGGAGATACACGTTCGGCAGTCATGGGCTTGTAGGCGGCATCTAAAGCTTGAGCCCAGATGAGACCACCTGGAGCGGCAAAAGAGAGGCCCCAGGACCAGAGCCTGCGGTTGTTAACATTCAGAGAGGCTCAGGGAGGAGTTCTTGCTTAGGCCGCTGGCTCTGTGTGGCACGGCTTCCAGGCAGAAACGACACTATGATTCCTGGCAATTACTGAGCATGTCCTGCATGCCACGCTTGGTGCTAAGCCCCTTACATGTATTACCTCACTTAATTCCCACACGCTCCCTGTTGGTACTGTCACTAGCCCCATTTTACAGGTGTGGTTGCTGAAACTCAGAGAGGTTACAAGCAATAACAGCAAACATCCATTTAGCACTTACGGTGTGTTAGGCATGATTATAAACATTTTACATATATGAACTCATTTAATCCTTATAGCAATGCTTTCAGGTAGGTGCCATTATTATTTCTCCTTTACAGATCAAACTGAGGCTCAGAGGTTAATGAATTGCGCTAGTCTGCCCAGCTAGCAAGGGGTAGCCCAGCTAGCTGGGTTTAGATCCCCAGAGTCTGGTGCCTAAGTAGGCTCTTAACAATTTCTGAGACTGTGTCTAAGGGTCCTCAGACTGTGCTCGGACCAGAGGTGTGAATCCTCAGCTCTGCCTCTGTGTAGGCTTGGTCGGCACATCCAAGGCAGGGGCAGTACGTCTGGCCATTAGGCTGTGGCCAGATTGCATGCCATTTAGTCAGATGTGATTTTTAGGAGTCGCAGCATCTAACTGACATATGGAATCTGGAAAACTGTGCAAAGCCAGAGACAGTGCAGTGTCACAAGGGGCAGAGGGTATTCCCTGAGCTAATAGGTCTGCCTTCCCATGTAGGGTAGGAGCTAGGCTCCATCAAGATCATCCAGGTGACCCCTCCTACCCCAAGGGACCCCATGAGAGTATGCTTGGGGATCTAGGGGATAGCAGGTTGAGAGAGACGTTAAGTACAGGCTCCCCATTTTGGAGAGCCTCCCACTGTCCTGAAGTTTCTGAAGCAGCAACTCATGCACAGAGACCCCTCTAATTAACCCCAGGCCCCACCTGACTGGTATCCCTGGGAGCTCTGTCTAGGCATCTGGCGAGTTCATTTTCTCATTCCCCAGAGAGCACATCATGTTCTCTCTTTAAAGCATAAATTACCACCCACAGATGGACCAGTCCTTCTCAAAGAACAAGGACTAACTCCCTCCATTCCCCTTCTTTAGAGTTTTCCTATCCACAGGAAATTCTAGAACAGAGAACAGTAGAGAGGATGCACCCCATGAGCTGCAGGGATTTAGGGCAATGGGTATTGGGGCAATAGCTGGCACTCTGAGGAGGCCACTGTCTGGTCACAGGTCTGGAGTCCTGTGGAAATGGGAATCACCATGTGGCTTACATTGTCCCACAAAAATAACCTTGATTCTGAGGCCCCAGATGATATCAATGTTCCTTGAGAAAGTCACATTTAAGCTGAGAACTCAGG